TCCCAGTATGTGTTATTGACATGGAGGTAGTACTATTGTCTCACATCTTTCATTTGCTGATGATATGATCATATTCGCCAACGGTAAAAAACAATCTATCAGGAGGATTCTGAGTTGCCTGAAGCATTATAAGGGGGTTTCTGGTCGGTTAGTAAATAGGGACAAAAGCGGACTCATACTACCCAGACTGGCATCTACTAGTCAGATCAGACGATTGGAGATTTTGACTGATTTTCGACACCGCAACAGCCTTTCACTTATCTGGGAGTCCCTTTATTTAAAAGGGACGAAGAGGAGCTTCATATATGATGACCTTATCCAGAACGTTAGGAACAAGAATTCAGGTTAGGCTTCACGACTTTTATCATATGGGGGCGGTATTACTTTGCTGAGGTCGGTGCTCTCCTCCATGCCATTACACCCTCTTCAGATCATCCAGCCCCCTAAGGCTATTTTGAAGAAACTTGAGAGCATCTTTGTGCGATTCCTGTGGAATTCAAAAGAACATGCACGACGTTTACATTGGCGGAGCTGGAAGGAGATTTGCCTTCCTACTTATGAGGGTGTTCTAGGCTTTAGGAGATTACAGGATGTGGTGGACACTTTCTCTATGAAACTCTGTTGGTTGTTCCATTCTCAGATATCCCTTTGGGCCAAGTTCTTATAGGGTAAGTATTGTATGGGGACACATCCTTTATTCGCAGTAGTTTTCTATTCAGCTTCTATTAACTGGAAGAGGCTGAAATTAGTTAGTCCTCGGACAAAGACACACATTGCTTGGCACTTTGGAGCAAGTCAGATTTTCTTTTAGCATCATTATTGGATGGATGAGACCACATTGACATCCATATTCCCACACAAAAAGCACACATCTGCGAGGGTACATGATTTCTATGATGACACTGGGTGGGATATTAAACGTTTATTACAGGTTCTCCCTCCTCTTATGGTGGAGCAGATATGGACTATACCTTTATATGCAGATGTACCAAATCGAATTTTTTGGCGGAATACATCGGATGGTAGCTTTAGCTTCGTTACCAAGTCAGCATGGCAGCTTGTACGTTCGGGATGCCAGTATCAGGATTCATACCAGTTACTATGGAGCTCCATTTTGCCAGTCACTATCTCATTTTTCTACTGGAGACTATAGCAGGGCCTCATTCTAGTAGATGTGGTCATTCAGGGGAGGATTGGATGCCGGTTGGCTTCTTGCTGCCAGTGTTGTTCTGGGACTGAGACTATTAGTCATATTTTCACTGGCAGTAGCATCTCCAATTTGGTATGACAGCATTTTGGGGATATTTTTCAGATAACTATGAGTCCAGGAGAGGGAGTCGGACAAAGATTCCAGAGAAGGAGATATAATTAGGTATGGCAGCATTTTGAGGATATCTTTCAGATACCTATGAGTTCAGGAAATGGAGTCAGACAGAGATTCCAAAGATGAAAGTATTCTGGAGAGTATGTTTGTTGTGGACACATTCGCATTATCATTCCTATACTGATATTTTCTATGGACCGCGAGAAATAATGCGAAGCATATGGGGATTCACATGGTAGCCAGACGTATCATTTGGAGGGTCTATCGCATGATCTCAATTCTTCATATGGAAAGACTGTTACGAGCGATGCATTGGCGAGGAGATTTGACACTTGCACCCATATTTGGTATTTTTATGGACCCTCATTCCCCATCTCCCCTATTCTGGTTTGGTGGTGCACTCCTTCAATCGGATATATCAAGATCAATACTGATGGATGCGTCAAGATGGTTATGCAAATGGAGAAGGCATCATCAGAGATAATGCAGGACACTGTATCAGGGCTTTCTCAACTTCGTATGGACCATGTATGATATTAGAGGCAGAGATTCGGGCTATTCTTAATGGGATTTTACTAGTTCAAGGATTGGATTATTCAGTGATTTGGGTTGAGTCAGATTCTACAGTAGCTATCCACTGCATCACAAGAGGAAGTCCATGGGCTATTCAGGGCATTCTTAGATGTATCACATGCATCATATCCTTCGACTGAGATACAGTCTTCCACATTTACAGAGAAGGAAATCAGGTTACAGATGCTCTTCTTGCTGAGGGTTGTGATCATCGAAGATATTAGGTATATGAACCACTTGACCTATCACGACATATTAGGGCACTAGTACAAGTTGACAGACATAGATTGCCCAGTATCAGAGTTTGAATTTCATTTTAACTTTCAATACTTATTTTTGATTTTTTTACATTAGTTCTTATTGTAAAGGAAGTAATACTTCTCTGTTTACTGCTTTATTCTTCATTATTTCCTTTCATTATAAGGGAAGTAATATTTCATCATTTACTGTTCTTATTATTTTCATGTAACCATGGTATTCCTCCGTCACAAGTGAGGACATATTAATATATTCTTGAAGGTACAACCCTCTTTTAACTAAAAAAAAGGTAAAAAGTTTTGAGGATTAAATCTCAGCCTTCTGGATTTCTTTGTTAAGAGAAAAGAGATCATATTAGGGTCCTGTTTGGTACACATTATTTTTTTCATTCTCATTCTTCTACTCATTTTCAACTACATATTTTTTAATAAAATAATATTTTCCATCACATCAATAAATTTTTCTTCATTTTTAACCACACATTCTCCATCAATCTACTATTCAATAATACATTCTTTCAAAAGAATGTGTCCCAAACACACTCTAAGTTTACAAAAAAAAATGAATTTTGTCCACGATGGGAAATCGCGACACGTGTGCCAAGTTTTTGGCTCTTTTATATTTTATTGATGTGAAAATGATTATTTTAAAATCTCTTTTCTACAACACTCATTTTCAATCACATACTAAAAAAAAAAAATCATGTTTTCCTATTTTTTCTTACTCATTAATTACACATTCTCAAAAAATAAAAAATGGCTTTTCTTGAGAAATTACTTTCACACAAACATGTAGATTGACGACGAAAACGTTCTCCGAGACACTTTCCTTTCTGCTTTAATATGGTTTACCCATAATCATTAGCGGCAAGGAAAGATATGATTATTTACAAGATTTTTTTTTTAATTTTTATTTTGTAAGCATATCAAGCACGATATGGTTAGGGATGACAACATATAGGACGAGACTGGGGTGCCCTCCACATCCTCATCCCACCAAGGATCTTTGGGAAGCGGGATTAAAATATTTCAAATTATTGACTTGTTTACTTATTTATTTTGAATATGAATTAAATTTAAACGTAAAAAATTAAGAGTTTGTAATACGAACAATGTTCCCCTTTGCACCTCGATTTCTCTGCATGAAGATACGACCGACATAGGACAAGGCGAGTGTGAGACATTTTGTCATCCCTAGGGATGATAAAACTACTAACTGTCCTAATCTGAAATAAAGTCCAAAAGATTGTGGCAATAATTGAACTTCCAAAAAGGTAGGGGCCATTATGAAATATATTTAACTTAGAAGCGCGTGATGCCCCAATAGCTCATGCGGGTGCATGGGGACACGAAGATGCTAAAATAAGCCGTAAATGCTCACATCGTAACCTACGCACATAGTTGCAGCATAAGAGAGAAAAGAAGCGGGGGAAATAAGAGAGAGAAAGGACGAAGATGTATAGAAAGAGAAAGAAAGGCGGGTGGAGGGCTGAGTCAATTCGCCAGGACTCGACCGAGTCGAAATATCCCCCACACAAACAAAAAATTATCACACACAAACAGGCGTGAAAAAAATGGTGAAGAAATTGAGTCGCCTTTGCCTTTACCACAACTATACCTCTAACCCTAATACCCAAATCCAAATAACCCTCTTCGTTTTCTCTCTTTCTGTCTTGACTACACTCACACTTATATCTATACATTTATTGGTTTCTATTCGCCGACTCATTATCTCTGCCTCAATTGCATCGTCTTTTTCTTCTATTCTCTTCCCCATCTCTCACGTTCTCTGTTTTCCTTCTCTTTGACGACTCGTTTGTCCTGCATATCGGGTTCTTTTCTGTGGGCAAGGTATTTTTCATTTTTTTTTTTTGGGGGTTTTTTACTGAATGTTTATACGAACTTGGAGCCGCAGATATCACGGGTTCCATTGGAGGTTTTTTTTTTCCTTATAATTGAGATTGGTTTGCCATCTGGATTTGTGGTGATCCTCAATCACTGTGGGTGGGGGGGGGGGGGGAGTGTGCGTACGTTCGTTCGCTCGTTTGCTCTATATGCATTATAGTTGTGGGTTTTAAATTGGGGTTTGAATTTATAATGTGGCGTGTGTGATTTTCTTTTATAAAACCTTGAGATTGTGTGGAGTCAGGTGATTTTGTGTGGTGTCTTGGTCTACTGGAATGTGGGGATTGAATTTGCGTGTGTTTATGTGATCTGGTACAATTCATTTTATAGGTTTTGCTGGATTTTTATCTGGAGTGAAGGCATTGATGCAAATTCTATTTTTCAGATTTTCTTTCTTTCTTTCTTTTTGAGTTTAGTTGAATTTGACCCTTTCAATTTTCGATCATGCTGAGTGGCTGTGGGTTGTGTTGTGTAATTGATGTGCTTTTTAGCACCTTTATTTTTAACTATATTTTTCTGGGGATTGGGATTGCAATTGGGATTGGGGGTAGGGGCGGAGGAGCTTAGTGATATTAGTTTCGTTGCGTCAACACCCTCGTGTCGTTGTGTTGCTGATGCAATTTTATTAGCTTTATTGACATTCTATTATGAATTGAATTGCAGGAGTAATTGTTTTTGAGGGATTATCCTGTATAACGCGTAAAGTTGTGGTACCTTTAGCTGTGGCATGATGTACTACATGGTCTAATGTTTTTATCACATCTAAACATTTAATTTGCACGTGTGCAACGATAAGCAATTGTGATTAAGAGTCTTTTGAGATAATGGATCATTTTAGGGCACCTCAATTTGATGGTATTGGAGGAACGATAAGAAAAAAGAGGAGCCAGACTTTACGTCGTCCTCGACCCGAGCCTCAGTCACTCCCAAATCAATCCTCCATGTCACCAACACCGCTTTCAGATGACACGAGTAAGATCTCAAGCGATGATGTTGGTGATGCAAATTCTAGAGGGAAAATGTTCAATCTCAATCAGTGTGTATCGAGGCCTTTTCCTACTAATGGATCTGACGGTGGGTCAAATGCTTTAGATAGTAATGGTGTGTCAGGTGATGGAATGGGAAATGAGAACAAACTGAAGAAAGTTAAGCTGAAGGTTGGCGGTGTGACACGCACAATACAAACCAATTCCAATTCTAATGGTGCATCAGGTAGTGCATCTTCGGCAAAGACCAATCAATCATCTGATTCTCGACAGCGGCAGAAACTTATCCTTCAGGTTTTGGTCTCTTTGCTTTTTCTCAGAGTACGAAACATAGGGAATTCTGTTTACAGAGAAATATTTGGGGCTAATTTAGCCTAATTTGGTTATTATTTCATCAAATTATGGTCCATGTTTCCCATCAGTAGTTATACTCAGGTGAATTAATCCAGAAGAATTTACTACCTCAGTCGGCAGGGAATTTCTGAATCACTAGCCACAATATTTCATAAGGCTAGAACAAAGTTGCTGATAGATTGCTGATTGAGTTGTTCAAGAAGAGAAAATGACATCAAGCAACCAAATTTGTTTTTGTTGAAAATGGATAGAAAATATTTTCTTCAAGAAATTAAATTTATTATTTTTGTGTCCAATATATTTTATATTATGGAAGGAAGAGCCTGAAAAATATAGTTTTTTTTTTCCCTTGAAACCTTTTGACTCGATGGGCATTTGGTTGGTCGACTGAAAACATAAATTATGAAATTTTAAAGATGTAAAACCCGTGTTGGGAGTAAAGATGTTCGTACTGAAATCTGTAGATCAACTGAGCTGTTGCATGGAAAACAAATCTACTGTATTTATGCCTGTTGAGCGTTGATTGTCATTAACAGATTTGCTGTATATTGACCTGGAAAACTTTCCTTTTCGACATCTTTCTATCTCAGGAACATTCAGATGAATATCATTCTCCAGCACAAGATAAAAAAAGTGGCATTCAAGGGATCCCATGGAAGGGTTTCTCCAAAGGTGGTTTTGGTCTTGGGAAGGAGGATAAAGGGAGAATGCTTGCAAAGAGTGCCTTTGAAAAGCAAGGAGATAAGTCGGATCCAGTTCGTAAGAGCAAAAGGATGCCTAGAACTCGTGTTTTAGACGAGGAATTTGATGAAGATGATCAAGATGATGAGATCAGGTACCTAGAAAAACTTAAAACTGCGAAGATAGCAGGATATAAAGACACCAACACAGAATCAACCAGAAAACAGCGGAAAGATGGGAAGTTGGAAAACATTGAAGGCACAGGGAAGTCTGGTAGGGATTTTAAGGAGACCAAACCTGATGACATGGATTATGAGGAGGAAGAACTTTTGTCTGATGGTGAACATGAAGGAAAGAAGAAGAAAAAACAAAAGAAGGATCTCTTAGATTTACCAGTGGAAAACAAGAGGGAAATGGCCCTCACTACTCGCCAGCGGGCCCTTCTGAGCAAGGATACCCCTTCTGCATCTGGTGCAAGTCAAATTGAATTCCCAAATGGTCTACCACCTGCTCCATCTCGAAGTGAGTATCTTTATCATTCTTTCTGTTCGTGGCTTTTTGATAATTTCCTAGCATTCTACCGGTCCATTTGTTTAACCTGTCTGCCGATTTCTTATGCTCCAGAGCAAAAGGAGAAATTGTCCGAAATGGAACAACAGCTGAAGAAAGCTGAGATCGCTCAAAGGCGTAAAATGCAAAATGAGAAAGCAGCACGGGAGTCAGAGGTTTGCATTTTTTCTCTACTTCAATTTATTGTGATTTTGTACAACTTTTAGAATTTTATTGCAAAAATAAGCATGAAACATCAAATTTGTAGGCAGAGGCAATTAGAAAAATACTCGGTCAAGATTCCAGTAGGAAGAAGCGAGAAGATAAAGTGAAGAAACGCCTGGAGGAGTTGGCACAGGTACTGTGTTCTTCTCGAGCCCTCAATTTGAGTATTGTTATGAAGCTAACTACTAATAATTCCTTGTTCTTTGTTTGGAACAAAAAACACAGGAGAAGGTGGCCAGTGCTCATATGCTAGCATCAAGCACCATTAGATGGGTCATGGGCCCAACTGGGACCACTGTCACTTTCCCGCAGGATATGGGTTTCCCCAAAATTTTTGAATCCAAGCTTTGCAGGTAAAAAATTATTTCTTCTAATCCTTTGAACAGTGTTTCTAGGGAAATATCTACAACGCTGCCTATTCCTTTTTCGTTTATCTCATAATTAGTGAAACTTGCGTGTTAAATCGGTAGGAACGATGCTGATCTCATTTTGGTGCCTGCATTTCCTTTTGCAATTTCAGTTGTCCTTTTTCATTTTCCACTCAACTTGATGAAACTTGCATGCTAATCTCATTTAGGTTTCATTTTAAAATTTTAGAGCTTGTTTGAAAGTGTTCATAAACAGTTTAAATTATAAATAGATAAATAAAAATGAGGGGTGGATAAGTGGGTAATGCTTGTTGGTCCCCCAAAATGGGTTAGATAATAAGTGGCTCGAGTATTTATAAATAGTATATAAACATAAGCCAAACATGGGCATGTGACTATAAATCTCATTTTGATTTCTGCATTTGTTTCGAATTTTCAGTTATCCACCTCCACGTGAAAAATGTGCGGGCCCTTCTTGTACAAATCCATACAAATACCGGGATTCCAAGTCAAAGCTTCCTCTCTGCAGTCTCCAATGCTACAAGGCTATTCATGAAAAGATGCAAGTCGAAAATGCCTTTTAACGTCTTGGTTTGTGTTGCTATTGCTGTCTGTGCAGATATTCTTGCACGTGTCAATATATCAAGGCTTTGAAGACACTGTTTCCAAATTAGTTCTCGTAATCTAGAAAGAATATGGAAACTCGGTTAGTCCTGGCAACCTAAATTACAATGATTTTCGCATCTATGCCAACTACTTATTTTTTTGAGCTCTAAATTTGGACGATATTATCAACTTCCCTTATTAAATATATTTTTGGCAAAGGCTGCAGAATTTTTTGGTATCTTTTCTTATGTTATTATATTCTCATGGAAGTATTATAAACATCATGCATATCTTATGTTTCTCGATTTTCTTTTTCCATTTTGAGTTGGTTTTATTATTGGCTTATACTGTAGTTTTATTTTGTTTCCGGTTACGTTAACACTTCTAATGTGTTACTAGATTTCTTTAAATTCTGCGTTTAAATGGCGTTTGGCTTATCTGATTAGTTTAACCTTTTTAAATTCTTAAAATACTAACCTTTTTTTAACTCCACAAACACCTGCAAACACGTAGACACAAGCAATGGAGGCGGTGCAGATTTTTAAGTTTCTGCTGCCACGGATTTCAACTGCGAATCCACCTCCTTCGACACAACTACTTTGATCCATTTATCTTTCTTTTTTCTTCTTCACCGCCACTGCTACCGACTGTTATCTGCTGCCATCACCACCAAAAATCCTATCAACCACCTCTTGCTTCATCCACTCTGCCTCCAACAACTTTTCTTTCCTCCTTAAACCACCTCTGTCACAATGACCCGACTGATCTTCTCCACCTTGACTTGGATTCAAATGAAATTTTCATGTTTGGCTCATGTTTATAAATTATTTATAAAAACCCAATCCCTTTGTTATCCATACATTTCGAGACACCAAAAGTACTACTGATTTAGCCACAATTTATTTCTGTCTATTTATAATTTAAACCATTCATAAACATTTCCCTAACATCCTCCCACTAGTCAGATCTTTTCCACAGACTGCCAGATTTGATCTATTTTGTGCTGATTGATTTGATGAAAATGGACTAGAACATTGCATAGAAAAAAATCGTGTACGGATGTGGTGATGATTCATGTATGAACTTGGTTTTCTTAAATCCATAGGAAGAGTTAAAAATGGTGACAAAATATTGCCGTTGGTGGAGGCTGGTGGTGGCGATGAATTTTGCTAGCAGTAATGGGTGGCGATGATGGTGGTGGTTTTGTGGTGTTTTTTTAATGGTTGGGAGATGATGTGAAGATGTCGTTTGTGTTGTTAGTAATGGAAATGATGGTGATGGTGCAGATTTGTGTGTAATCTGGCGGATTTGATGATGTTGTAGGTCTGGTAGTAGCGGTGCATATCGACATTGATTGCGATAATGGTTGAACAGTATTTTGAGAAATAGCAGGTCTTGGGACGTGGGTTCCTGTTTTGAGTCGTTTGTCCTTTTAGTGGAATAAAATAAATATTCCCTATGTCCCAATTATATAGGTTTGTTTCGTTTTTCACACGGATTAAGAAAACTTCTTTAAAGTCATTAGAAAATTAATTTTTGTCAAGATCTTTTCTAATTTATCCCTATTTAATTTTCAGTATGTAAAACTAAATTATTGTTGGAACTAATGAAGAATTTGAAAAAGAAATGAGAGTTGTTTTATGTTTTCAAGAAGTGGGAAATATGTGTATTTGGATGATTTCAAGAAGTTGGTATATTAAATAGGGAGAATTTAATAATAGTATATTTGTAAAGGAACACAACAAAACATTCTACATTAAGAAATATGTATATATATTTGGGACGAGAAAAATTCAGCCCATATAATTGAAACGGAGGGAGTATTATTTTACTCATTTTATTTACCTTCCAACCGGATTAATCCAAATTTGATGGGATGAATAAGATTGTGCCATGTGGCACAATGGCACATTGCACAGAGGTATCTACTGTAGTCCTAACCTGGCCGACGTGTCTCTCAGGCAAAAGAATAATGCTATTTAGATGTTATGACAAGATAATATCAAATGACGTGTACAACTTAATAAATCACTTAATTTTACTTTTGAGAGATGCTACGTGTACATAATGGTGTACATGGAGGGAGGTTCACACAAAATAAAATATTCGTAGGCCTCCTTCCATTTATTTCAGTTTCACCTCTGCGTAGTCGGTTTTTATCCAACTTCATAATTTAAGTTCTTAATTTTTTCGATTTATTCTCGTAGTTCTGAGCGCTACTAAAACAAAAAGTGATATGCCGACGAACCGTAAGCAAATGTGCTATCTTAAAGAGAAATTATCAAACTCAGTATCTCGATAAAATTTCTTTCTTCTATATTTGTTGTTGCTGTTATAAATTATACGTAATTACTTTGTTTGCATGAAAATAGAACCTTTTCCAACAGATCTGCCTTGCACCTTCTTTCTTCGTGGACGATCTAACTAAATCTTAAGTTTTTATTTTTAATTATTATGTTTGTTAATGTGCTTTCCACATTACATTTGGTGACTACACAACTTACTACTTTTATGTATATTAAAAATTCATTAAAAAGATAATAAATGTCAACCCCATAAGAAAATGGCTGCCTTCATTAAAATCGAGAATTGGATCGGACTAAATAAGTCGACATAATATCAATGTCATGGATCAAATCAGACTCATGAATTCACCCTAAAATCGGTTAGTTCACTCCCAAAATCTATTGGTTTACCCTCCAAAATTCTATTTTTATTAGTGTATATATTGTTTTTTCCAATTAGCTGGTGCCTAAAACATTGTATAATTTCACGCCAGATTTGAGTTATATTGTTATCACCGTTCATTTATAAGAACTGTGTAAATATTAGATATTCAAAATGACATTTGTCGCAAAAACTCGCTCCAAGGGTCGTCAAAACGGTGTTTTTCGAGCTTAATTTCACGTTACATTTTTCTACCAAACAATCAATCCAAACTGTTTCAACCCACAACCAATATATTCACCTCGGTTGCTCTTAAATCTCACCTACAAAAGACAATAACTTGTAAGCCACAAAGGTATGAGAAAAACAAGGGAAGAAGACATAAAGAGGAGGCCAAATACACAAAGAAAGCCACCGATTTTTCTCTCCACTAAGGCAACCATTTTTTTCAGCAAGAAGGCAGCCACGTTTTCTCTCAATTGTATACACAAATCACACACTTTACGCTTAGGGTGAAGACACCATATATATAGGTTATGTTTGGCTTTAGTTGGACCAATAAAAGACTTAAATGGACCAAGATTCAAAATCATCCAAGAAGTAATATATGTGGACTGTGAGCAACGTTAATTGTTTAAGCTACTTTCAATAGCTTACGTTGTTCTTGGGTCGAGCCTTTAGACTTGATTGTTGGTAACAATTTAATCCAATGTTTACATCATAGCATGTGATTCATTGCGTATCAAAACTCAATACATCTCCACTTCATACACAATCAACCTGTAAGCAATCAAAACACAAAATTAACGCTTGCATAATCAAGACAACCAATAAAATTGGGATCACAGACCTTACCTCTTGTTTCGAATACGAAACACATACCATACCTACTCCATATACTCACCAAGGCTAAAGTCAAATAACACCCAAGTAGAAGTAGATAATAACGGTAAACAATCAAGAGTAAATAATCACGCGATGAAGATATAACTTAGAATAATCCACAAATCTTTTTCAAACTACGTTCACATAGAACAACAGATTAATACTAAGTGAATTAATCAAACGGTCAAAACACATATGCAACAAACGCATAAATGGTCACACTAAAATATCTCACCACCCTTATCATATTTCATTCCGTCTTTCTCACACCTCGAGAACACATATCTCCTCTTATCGTCCACCATACTCAGTAGACTGATCACTCAATTCATATCTAACTGATAGACCTCTATAGATCCTAAGTCATTGGCTTAATCCTCCATCATAACATCACTTCTCCCAATCTAAGTGAATAATGGGTCTCCATCTAAAAGAAATGATAGAAGTGTCTCTCTCACACTCAACCTGATTATGGTCTCTTCACGAATAAAGAATTTCAATATTTAATCACCTCTCCACTCATGATCTAAATGTCATACTCCACATCCCCGGTAGAAACCACCAATGTACACATAGACATCTATACTTCACATCATCAATAGAAATACAACACACTGCTGATGCACCTTAACTCACCATTTATGCAAACAATTACACCAAATAATTAAATTACTCTCAAATTCATGCAAATGCATATATCAAACGCATTGAAATGCAGATATAAATATGCAACAGAATTAAGCAATCATATATATGCAGAAAGGATTATATACGGATGCACATGCAGTAACTAAATTTACTCTCAATAAACCTCATTAGAGTCATCACTCTACCCTATAGTCACATTCTCTTACATCCCTTCTTATCTTTCCTTTTATTATCATTTCTATGACAACCTATTTCATCATGTCCAAATTTACCATATTTAAAATACATCTTACTTTACTTACCTTAGACTTACATTTGTCATCAAAAGTTTTATGAGAAACCTTTTCGTTTTGCCAAATTGAAAAATCATATTTTCATTAAAAAAACACAACTCACAATGTGTTGTCATTTTACCAAAAAAAAAAAAAAAATACACAAAACACAAAATTCAACCAACAAAAACCACAAGCAAAGTTCAGACACAATTCACACAAAATGGTCGAACCACCAAACTTTTCTAAGGTCACGTGCAATTATAATAATGAAAAATAATTGGCGACAAAGTTACAAAGAATTCAATGCAAATAATTAACAAGAAATTCTCAAGTCTGGCAACAGACAATGGTTACTCCTTCACGATAACACAACCTAACGTTACCCCACACAATGACTTCTAATAAAAAAAATAAATGCAAATTTATCTCTTTGGGGACACCACTATTCGCTATAACAAAAAAGGAAAGAACACGATACCGAGTGGACTACGTCTGAAGATCCGTAAATATCAAGAGATGCGAATTTATCATTTTAGGGACACTGATATTTGCCCTATAGTCTCCAACAATCACAGGAATCAATCAACCACGAACGAATCCCGAACGTGCAAAGAACAAAGTCGTCCGGCTTCGCTGTATAACCTGAAACATAAAGGTAACACTACCACAATGTCAGAAAAATGTCAAGAACAAACTGTCTTCAGACGTCTTCGTCTAAAATAGCCTCATGCGCCGTACTAGAGCTGCCACGCCCGGCTGGAACACCTCATGCGCTGACCATCCAGCTGCGTCTCCACCTGAACGTCTTGAATATGGGCTACATGTCACCACCATGTCTCTGGATTTGCTAAAATCAAGAAAACATGTTCGATTTTTAGCTAGTTTTCTCATAATTTTTCAATCTGCTTTTTCGATCAAATTATGGTCAGTTTTTCGAATCAAATCCACCACCTTGAAAATATGATACCAATTGTTATGGAAGATCACTCCAAGGGTCGTCAAAACGGTATGTTTTGGGCTCAATTTCACGTTAATTCTCTACCAAAGAACAAATCCAAACAGCTCCAACCCACAATAAATATATTCACCTCGGTTGCTCCTCATCTCACCCACAAAGGACAAGATAACGGTGATAATTTGTATGCCACGAAGGCACGAAAAAAATCAATGGAAGAAGACACAAAGAGGAGGTCAAATACACAAACAAAGCCACCGATTTTTCTCTCCACTATGGCAGCCATTTTTTTTAGCAAAAAGGCAGCCATGTTGTCTCTCAATTATATACGTAAATCACACAATTTACGGTTAGTGTAAAGACACCATATATATATAGGCTATGTTTGGTTTTAGCTGGACAAATAAAAGACTTAAATGAGCCAATATTCAAAGTCATCCAAGTGATAATATATATAGGTCACGAGCAAGATTAATTGTTTAAACTACTTCCAATTGCCCACATTGTTTTTGGATCGAGCTTTTGGACTTGGTTGTTAATAATAATTTAATCTAACGTTTACATCATGTATTCAGGGTGTGTTTGAGGCACATTATTTTGGAACAATGTATTCTGGAATAGTAGATTGATGGAGAATGTATGGTTGAAAAAGAAGGAAAAGTTATTGATGTGATGGAAAATATTACTTTAATAAAAAATGTGTGGTTAAAAATTAGTAGAAGAATGAAAATGAAAATTGTAATGGGTACCAAATAGGGGCTCATTGGGTATCAAAACCCAACAACATTTGACTCGATCTACCCATGTTATTGAAATTGTATTTTCCGAATAGATAAATTGATTCTATACTTTTCATGAGACATGAGCATATATAAAATATGCAACAATTTAGTAATTAGCTGGAATGCAAGCATGTCCTATGTCGTGAGAGCCACTTTAATTATATTCCTATTCTCAAATATATTTTATTGTTCTCTGTGATCAAAATTCAAATATATATGTCTGTAGCTGAAATTTTGTTTCTTATGATTTTTTTTTAAAATTTGGATTATATGGATTCAAATTCAGAAAAATGTCAACAAAATGGCAACAAATTATTACTCAGGGGTGGCGCCTCCGTGAGAGAGCTGTTTCATATCCTTTCCGCCACCCTCCTCAGCCTCCTCATCCCACTATCATTCCTCCTCCTTGCCCGGCTCACCACCGCCCGCTATTTGTTATCAGTTTTTGATAATTATCCCATGCAAAATCCCAATTCTCCTTTATCCTTACTTTTTCTATACACAAAACCCACAGTTATTAATTTACTAGTTACAATTGTTAGTGTTTTAGCTCTTACAAATGGATTGATTGGAAAAATTAAACTTTTGAGCGGTCCGCCGCCTCCTGCAAAGGCAGTCGAATTCCGGTTGTGTTTGTATGTTGCGTGGATTTTTCTTTGTATTTTACAAATTTGTGTTGCATTGGGAATTGAAGGGAGCATCGCCGCCGGCGTCGATGGGTCCAAGTTTGGGCAGGAGAAGAGTTTGCCGTGTAGAGTCGTTTTCTTCTTCGGATTGCATGAAACGATGGCGTTTTGGGAGGCAGCGGTGGTGAAGCCGGTAGTGGACGACACGATTTTCGGGTTCACGAGGGAGCAGGGTTGGGCGGAGAAGGTGGCGACGGCTGTTAGTTTTGGTGGGCTCTGGTGGTGGAGGTTGAGGTATGAGGTGGAGGCGCTAGTGGTGGTGCCGGAGGTGAAGAGGGAGCTGATGATGAAGATAGGGGTGGCGGATTTTATTGGGTGGTGGCTGTATTATTTAACGGTGACAATTGGGATGGTTAGGGTGGTGAAAGGTGTCATATGGGTGGTGATGATTTTAACATGCCGGCGGAGGTGGCGGTTCGTGAAGGGCAATGACGGTGGTGATCTCTGGGTAAATGAAGAGAAGGTTTGAATTTGGACCTCTTCAATTGATATTGAAGAATTTACCCGAAAATGGTTGAAATGTAGGGTGACCGACTTTCACATTGCGCGTGGGTCTCGCATGAATAAAATAATGCCCGACTCTTAAGGTGTTTGTATTCGGTCATCCCCTATGTCATCATCTACATTCGTGTAGCATGATTCTGTAATTTATTTATTGACACTTCATTTCACCGTTGGAGAATAAATTTTTAATTTTCTTAATTTAACCCGTCCCCTAAACGGCTTCAAATTAGAGTCTCTCACGTTATAAAGTTTCGCTCATACCACTTGATCTCTAAATTTCAAACAATTTATGCAAAAACTCGAGTTTTTTAATAATATCTTGTCCATGATGTGCCCATAAAAAATTTGGCTTCGTTCTCATTACTAGTTTATGAAAATTCAGGTGATAAAATTTTAATTATAAAAATAAATATAATGAGCAGAGCTGAAATACTCATGTTTTTAAAAATTGAACCGAACCCACCTATTCAATTGGGAACCGAGCTCATATCCGATCTGATTTCTCTCATAAACCCTCTAATTAAAAACTCGCCTAAAAAACCGTCACACCGACCGATTTAACAAAATTCGTGACCCGCCACCAGTTTAACGGTTTAGAATTAACGCATTGAAATCTCAAATACGTGAAATGGAAACCCCTTTTTTACCTTCAATGCGTCTCTTTCTCTTCCCCCATGATGTAAAATTCAAACCAACATCTTTTCTTCCAAGTTTTTGCTTGATTCTTGATTCCAGGTTCTAATTATTGGCTGATCGCGCTGTTCCATATTGGTTACAAAGGTTTCAATATTATAGCATGTTTGATTTTAAACACATTGATTTTTTCATTGTGTTCCATTTATTTATTTATTTTTTTAGGGAAGAGATTTTTTTTATTTTTTTTTTTTTTCATATTTTGTAGGTTTCGAATAATCTGTATTTTTTTTTTTGACACATAATCAACATAAAAAGTTAGTCATTCCAGTTCATTTTAGTATTCCTTTATTTTGTTTATGTTAGTGGTTGACTTAGTATTATTATATTTAATTTCTTGCATTAAACTTTGACTATTTGAATTCAATTCTCAATTATATATGTCGTTTTACTTGTAACGGTATAGTGAACTTAATGTAAATTAATACAAATTAAAGAACTTAATGTTTTTGAAATAGAATTAAGTACTTACGTCATTAGTTTGTTGCTTTTGAAGAGTAAGTCGTTTAGGGGTCCAGTTAGCTTTAAAGGATCGTATTCAACTTAAACTATGAGAGCCACTTATCGATGAAATAATTTCTTAGAAGTATTACCGCACCCTCAAGGATTAAACCCACTTTTTACACTTAAAAATGTTAAATGGATCTCTTTATCATAAAAAGAGAGTCATCATTTCTGATCATACTTCACCCCTCTTAAATAAGATGAGACGCGAGACCCAATGCTTGAATTGAAATGAAAATCACTTTGATTATATTCTAAAGTTCACTTCTTCTCCCACTCTACGAGTGAAAGGGAAAATGTAAAGTCTACCATTAAAGTAGCCCAAGCGAGACTTCACCAACATTTCGTAATTCGTTGTTGAACTTATTCCAAATCCAAGAGCTCGGATCGAATCGATATTCATTTGAAACGATGGAAAATGAACATCTTATATTGCTGTTTATGTTACAAATTGGGTGCACATTGTCAAAACTATTTTTTCTGTTCAAATTCCTCGATAAATATAAACTTCACCTATTGAATATCAACGAAAAACCTAAACAACATCATTTTTTGATACAGTTATCAACAAATGGCACATCGATGGTTAACTATCTAGACCATTTTAGAGCATCTCCAAGAGGCTCTCTA